TATCATCAACTGACTGAACTAAAGCTTCTCTTTTCCTTAGGTCATGGAGATACTTCCTCCTGTCAATCACTCTTTCTAAAGTGTTTTTGAAAAATCACATACCCTGCCTTTAAATAATGCTGTACTTAATGTCAAGTATGTGAACTCAGTACTGTTTAACTAAGCATCAACCAGGTTCCAGCTCATGAATTTGGTTGTTAGAATGATTAGTGTGTATAGATCTGTGCTCTGGAAATAAGTCTGAATTGTTATATTATACTAAATTGTTTTCTAGCATTGTTAAACATTTTTTTGTTAAAAATGGTTACATCGATACAGCAGCAGGTGGCGTCAGTGGTTGTCCTTATGAGTGAGTTATCGAGTCATTCTCTCACAGATTGGTTAAAAATGATTCATGTCTAAAAGGGGAAAAAATTCATGTCTAAAAGCCATTACTGTGCAACTCTGAGACTGTCAGCGCGCTGACATTATTTGTAATTATTATAATTATTTGTCAATTCGGCTATATTAATTCCAAACGAAGCCAAAGCAGAGTTAAGCGCAAAATAACACACGTCACTACTGAGTCTAAAATGTAAGCTTTTCAAAATAATAGCCAAACGTCCTCCTACAACTCCTTTGGCTTAACCATGGTATTGCTACCTTTAAAGCTCTGACTTCCTCCAGCGACGAAAAGCTTTGATGTTCACACGGTCACCGTGATTTTGCCAAGTAAGACATGTTCCTGGATCAACATCTTTTGATGATCCTGGATCAACATTATTGTCCAAAAATATATACTTAAACCAATCCCTACCCCTAAACCTAACCCTACGCATAATTTATTCCTAAAATCAGTGTGAAATTATATCTGATTAACAAGGGTGCAGAAGCACCTAACCCTAAGGGTGCTTTCACACTAGCACTTTTGGTGCGCACCCGGCAGTGGCGTAACTACAGACAGTGCAGGCAGTGCAGCCGCACTGGGGCCCGTGCCGCGGGGGGGGGCCGCAGCGCACGCGGGCCCTGCCCACATTGCAAGCGACTATAGTAATATAAATGAATAATGAACGTATTAATAATAAAATACAATTAGCACCGAGATTCTTCACAGAACTGAATAAATACATAAATTCGCGCAAAATAGCGTGTGTCAGCTTTAGTGGTCAAGTGGTAGAACTTTTGTCAAGCATTTCCGAGGTTCTGGGTTCTAATCCACCCTGGTACATCCGTGCGTGCCGCGAGATGCTGCAAAAAGTGGCGTGGGGTCGTGGGGACACACGTCCCACCAGTAAATAAAAATATAACAGAATGAATAGTCTTGTTTTATTTGTTATTGCTGATGTGAACGCAATTGTACCAAATCACGGAAGTGAACCGCTATTAATGACGTATTACTTGATAAAAATGTGTGTTTGTGTGTGTTTCACTGACTTTCTTGACGAGCGTGACTGACGCGCTGCAAGCAGAGCTGTATAACAGGGGGAGGGGGGAGCAATCGAACCAAGTGTGAAAGCACCCTTATTGTAAGCCTAAACAGATATTTCCTGAAAAGGTATATCTCAATTCTGATTACTTGATTGGAATGTTGTTCCAGAATCAACAAGGATGTTGATCCAGGAACATGTTGTACTTGGTCAAATCACGCTCACCATGTTCAAACTCGTCTTGCTTCTTCGTGGTCTCTTTGTTTTCCTTTATCTTTCTGTATTCCTGTTAGTGAGTAGCCTATCCCTTGTAACCCCACTTGTTTACATTACAAACAAACATTTTCGCACCCTCCAAACTTATGAAAACTGCTCCATGTTCATGTATAAAGCTCTCTCTAGCAGGGACGCGGGAAGTAGGGGTGCTGAGGGGGCTGCAGCACCCCCTGTAGTCACATGGTTGCAAACTGAACTGTACAGAATGCGAACAAGATTAACTTTAATACAAGGAGATAATGGCGCAAAAGCGAATTTCAGATTTTTTAAAATGCCCATCCCAGCAAAAACTTTCCAAAATCGGCATCCCCAGCACGAGCACCGACGTAAGTGAACCAGCCCCAAACTGGTTGATACAGTCTCAAGGGAGATTTAGATCACCTAAAGTGCCTGTGCTTGCCAGTTAAAGGTACTGTAACAATAAACTGGATAATAAAAGTTGGCCTCAAGGCTTGTGTTTGTCAGAGTGTGTCATTGTTTTTGTCTTTGGCACGGGTTTTGTGTGTGTGTTTAATAAGGAAAGTTCAACAAACTGCCTGCCAGGTCTTTATCTTCATGTTATCACACACAAAGCCATCTACCGAAGTTCCTGTTTTTCTATTTTTGCTGGTCTCAGACCTACACAAATAAGTATAGGCTTGATAATTTTACACTGACATGTTGCATGTGGTTCTTCATCTCCCATCCCCAAACGATCCATATTTTCGATAACATTAAAGGATCAAGACATTTCTTACAACTTTCTCACAGGACAGATTAGAGAAAAAAAGGAAAGAAAAATAAACATGGCAAGAATCCCCATGATAACGCCAATGGAATGCATAACAGTATAGCCTTTTTCAACAGCTAATGTCACACAACACAAAATGTAGCATTACAAATTGAAGTGCATGACAATAAAACAAACCAAAACTATTACAAATAGATTATAGAAAATACAATAGACTGCATATAGCAGTATTTTTCCTAAACAATTGCATGTGCTTAATTAAAACGTATTTCACCCTTGTGCTCAGGGGTTTAATGGACACTGGTTAGCTGGTTGACCAGCAACCAGTGGTGGAAAGAGTACTGAAAAAATATACTCAAGTAAAAGTACCATTAACTTCCAAAAAATGTAGTGCGAGTACAGTAAAAGTAATTGTCCAAAAAACTACTTGAGTAAGAGTAAAAGAGTAGCCTATTTAAAAGTACTAGTGAGTATTGAGTAGTGAGTACTGAGCTGTGGATTCTACCCCATCATAATAAACACTGTACACCGCAGACTGAAACAAATGCTTTTCAACCGGTGTCTGCAGACTAGAGTTAAGAATTACATGAATGTGCAGCATTTTGTTCAAATAGAGACATATTTGTGAATACAAATGTTATAGTACGCGCAGCTGAGCCTCAGAACATCAGCGACCACTAGATGACACTATCCCCACTCACATGTGTGCATTCCATTGAGTACGGTTTCATGAATGTTACATTGTGTTTTCTTTGTTTCTTTTTGGTTTGGCTATTCTCCTCT